TACTATTTCTCAAAATGCCATGGCCAATCTCTGCCTGCACATTTTGTCAATACAGAGCTGTTGCTGCTCCAGCTGGCTGAACAACGCTGCCCTGTGTCCTGTCCCACTCCCCACCCACACATTTACACACCCAAACTTGAGCAGTACTCAGTATCTTGGTTACATCTGCTTTCAAAAAGTTAAAATTTACAGTAGATCAGAGAAAGGTGATAGTTGTCATGTTAAAGAGAATCTGGCTTCTAGGCCAGTCAAGACTTGTCTATAATGGGATAGAATGTATGAAAACATCGAAACAAAGAAATAGGAAGAAAGTGGGAGCCTTAGTTAGCCCTAGAGCATAGAAGGGAAAGAGCAGTTTAGAAGAGTCATCTGTGCATTACCTGGAGGAGGAACACCTTGAACCTCGGACTTGTTGGGTACCAGTGGTAGGATAGTCCCATCATAGAAATGGATGCATTTACTTATTACAGGCCAATGATGTTAAACATTTAAGCACATATCTGAATCCCTGTGATCTGATTTCATGATCACTAAAAATCTTCTGATTCTTTGACTTCCTTGATGGTGCATCTAGGAAATACCCTGACTAGAGACAAATCCACTTATATTACATCTGTACCATAAATTAATAAAATTGCATTCTGAATTCAGACATCAGTTTCAGTTTCTTGAGTAGGGGGACTTCATCCTGAGACAAGACAGACTAACAAAGTCTGAAGGCATAAAAACTGAGGGTCAGATAGGGAACTATAGTAAATTTACCAACAGAATGCCACCCCATAGAAACTATGTGGGATACTCCAGACTGCCCCAACAAAAACCCTGTCTTGTTGCATTATTTTCTTTTTAACACATACATACACCTTTATTTATTCAAGGCCACTAAACACATACTGAATGTGTTTATGTGGTCATTCAATGACCACATACTGAATGTGTCTATGACCTCGTCTCTACATACCTTTCCAATAATTTCTCTCTCTGTACCCAAAGCTATAGCAGAAACAAACGTTCTAAGTACACAAAGTTTCTATCTCTGCTTGGAATAGCTCCTCTCTATGTTGGGAAGTCTAAATTTTAACTAATTCTGAAAGTTTAGCACAAATAATACTTTTTTTTTTTATGAAGACTTTTCTTTTTTTTTTTTAATTTTTTATTTATTTATTTGACAGAGAGAGACACAGCGAGAGAGGGAACACAAGCAGGGGGAGGGGGAGAGGGAGAAGCAGGCTCCCCACAGAGCAGGGAGCCCGATGTGGGACTTGATCCCAGGACCCTGGGATCATGACCTGAGCTGAAGGCAGTTGCTTAACCGACTGAGCCACCCAGGCGCCCTTCATGAAGACTTTTCTAAATCCACCACCCTACCAAGGCTAAAACTAGCAATTTTGGTGATCTAGGCAGAGTCATTGAGAATCAGCCACATTTGATAGGTTCCTTTTTTTCACTAAATAGATATTAATCAGGTATTAAACTCAGTTTCTCTTCTAAAAGACTATATTTGTTGTCAGCATGTAATGTAATAAATGCTGTAATTTTGATCTATTATTTTATCTATTTTCAAGCAAAATAATACCTAATACCTGAGACCTTAGGCTCAGGTCTGCACTCTAAATTTCAGTGCCCTGGGATATAGCCTAGGTTACCCACACTATCAATCTACAGTAAATACACCTTTGTTTACCAATTAAAAGTATTATTTCCCATTATGAGAGGGATCAATTATTATTTTTATTAAATAATTATTTAATATTTATTCCTTGATTAAGGGCACTTATTACTTGCTCCCTTTGTGAGCTTTTGTTTAATTTTCCCTTCTATGTTCTCTGAAGACATAATTCCTATCTATCTCATTTTTGTATTTTCCATAGGCTTTTAGCTAGTATTTTATATAGAGAGGGCACTTTAAATATAATTTAAGAATTTCTCTTCCATTTTCAGTGAAGGTTCCCCTCAGTCTTTTTGTATGTATCCCATGTTATAAAGTCTTCCTTGATCATCCCAGTCCACAGGTCACTCCTTACTTTTGAATTCCTATAAGGACTGCCTATAAAACATTTAATTGCCACCAATACTGCCCTAGTGTTATCTTTTTGTGTTTATATGCATTTTATAGTCTTTTTATATTTCCATACACCCCAATATCTAGGCACAGCATAGACAATTAATAAATATTAATTCATTCAACCAATCTTTTAAAAAAAAATCAATGAAGGACTCGTTAGGAAAAGTATAGTCAAAACTCGCACCTAAAAAGAACAAAAGATCTCATCCATGGCAATGAAAACAAATTCCTATTGTTGGGATCAAAAGCTTTGACATACATAGTAGTTACTAATAAATTAAATTGTGTTGGAATTCTACAAGTATTTTCAAATTTCATGAATCTTCCTTTCTCTTCAAGGACACATAAGTGTCCAACAACATTCATTTCCTGAAAATACCAATGAAAGCAGATGGCTTTTTTTTTTTTTAAAGATTTTTTATTTTTTATTTGACAGAGAGTACAAACGGGGAGCGGCAGGCAGAGACAGAGGGAGAGGGAGAAGCAGGCTCCCTGCTCAGCAGGGAGCCCGATGTGGGGCTCAATCCCAGGACCCCGGGATCATGACCTGAGCCGAAGGCAGATGCTTAACCATCTGAGCCACCCAGGCGCCCGAAAGCAGATGGCTTTAAGCAAAAATGATTAACCATATTAAACAGATAAAGTTATCATTCATTTGTAATTTGGTCAGGTTTCTTTTTTTTTTTTTTTTTTTAAGATTTTATTTATTTATTTGAGAGAGAGAGAGAAAGAGCACAAGAGGGGGGAGAGGGACAGGGAGAAGCAGACTCCCTGCTGAGCAGGTAGCCCGATGCGGAACTCGATCCCGGGACTCCAGGATCATGACCTGAGCCGAAGGCAGTCGCTTAACCAACTGAGCCACCCAGGCGCCCTTGGTCAGGTTTCCATGCTGAAGACATTTATATAGTCAGCTTGTAGTACATTTGTTTTTATTGTATGCTAAGCTGACCTCTGACAAATGGCTTTAAAGTTATTTGCTTTTTACACATCCTTATGGTAATTAATGGGATATCACAAATTCTGCACATTTGACTTAAAAAAATGTATCTAGGGATGCCTGGGTGGCTCAGTCGGTTAAGCGTCTGCCTTCGGCTCAGGTCATGATCCCAGGGTCCTGGGATGGAGTCCCGCATCGCATCAGGCTCCTTGCTCAGTGGGGAGCCTGCTTCTCCCTCTGCCTGCCCCTCCCCCCGCTCATACTCTTTCTCTCTGACAAAAACTTAAAAAATATATATATCTATATGGTCAAATCCTTTAATAAGGAAGTTATTTCTTTAATTTGATATTTGAATCAGAACACTCTAGAGTCTTCCCACTCCAAGTGTAGTCCACAGACCTGCAGCATTGGTATCACCTGGGAGCTCATTCTTGAGGCAGAATCTCATACCCTACCCCAGGCCTACTAAATGTGAATCTCCATTTTAGATCCCCAGGTGATCTGCAAGCACTTTACAGTTTAAGAAGCACTGGTTTAGACTCTAGAGGAAGAAGAGAATATCCAAGATGCATATGACCAAGTAACAGTAACTAACTTATTGTAATTACTTATTTGTTGATCTTATCTGCTAACTGAAGGCTTGTTGAGGGCAGAACCCCTTCTATTTCCTCACCACTAGTATTCATTCCTAACAGGCTCAGAAAACATTACCCAATGCTCAATAAATATTTTTTGCTAAATGCATTAATGACCAAGCAAAGTGAAAATAAGACTTTTTCAGAAAGCAAATCCTTTAGGAAATTCTTTTGTACATGATTTCACATACTGCCATACTAATTCCTTAATTCACTATTATTAATTCCATTTTAAATACGTTGCCTTCTCTACTTGAACAAATACATTTAATGCACTTGACAAAGCAAAAGCTTGGATCATGTTCCTCTGTTGGAGACACCAGCGGCCTCTTCCACAAGTGAGAGAGCTGCATTTTAACTCTGGCTTTCACAGATCATCCCATATGCCTGCACATAATGAAATCACCCCAACAACTTGGAGGGGGTGGCAGGAGTAGAGGAGGAAAAGGAATGGGTGAAGCAAGGGGCGCCTGGATGGCTCAGTCGTTAAGCGTCTCCCCTCGGCTCAGGTCATGATCTCAGGGTTCTGGGATCGAGCCCCGCATCGGGCTCCCAGCTCAGCGGGAAGCCTGCTTCTCCTTCTCCCGCTCCCCCTCCTTGTGTTCCTGCTCTCGCTCTCTCTCTCTGATAGATAGATAGATAGATAGATAAATAAATAAATAAATAAATAAATAAATAAATAAAATCTTAAAAAAAAAAAGGAATGGGTAAAGCAAAAACACTTCCGTATCAGGAACATCAAATGAAACCATGAAAACATGATTCTTTGAACAGGATACTTCCAGAAAATAACTCTCGGCAAGGGAAATATAGAGGTAAGAGAACTCTTACCTTTCTCAAGAGCAAAAGGTGATTAACTAGAGAATACCAGGGAGTGATAAAAGACCAGCGACTACCTAGCGACGGAAGGTGGAAACACACCAGACCAGAAGTAAACCGAAGAGCGGTTAGAGACATCTAAAAAGGGTACCAAAAACCACTTTCAGGTATGCAGAGAAGGAAATCAAGGGGGAAGAAAGGAATAGCTCTATGAAGCGTTTAACTTACGATGATGATATTAATAATTTTTTGAGAGAGCGAGAGACAACGCGCACTTGAAAGGCGGGGGGTGGGTGAGAAAGGGAGACTGCAATCCCGCGCACTGCAAAAGGAAGAGACTACTGGCAGCCCGGCTCAGACGGTCCCGGGGAGGAAGCCCAAGCATAGGTGGGTGGCAACGCCCGGCTCCGCTGGTCCCCGCCCGGTGGCTTGAGCCATCTCCTCTGCAGCCTGCCGAGCACCGGGTGGGGACGGGAAAAGGCGGACTGCTTGTGGGAGGGCGTGCGGGAGGACAGGGCGGATGCCGGGCTGACCAGGTACCCACCTTATCCCAACGGAGCCACTGCCCGATGGCCGTGTCTAGCTGAGGATCCCCGGTGTGGTACGGGGTGTGGAGCAGGTTGGAGTTCAGGTCCCCCTCTGCATTTTCAGCCATGGCAGCCAGACTGGGGTGTGAGGGCCTGGGGGGGTCAGCGAAGACACTGGTTTGGGGGGGCTGAGATGCGCTCACCAGGGTTCTGACGCCCCCTCCTCACTGAAGGGCATCGGAGACCTACCAACCGCAGGGTGTCTGAGCCAGCTCCTGCTGCAGCTTTGGAGAAGGAGAGAGGGGGGATGCGGCCGCCCGCTCCCACCAAACCAGCTCCGGGTCTCTTTCTGTGCGAACGGACTGAGGCGGTCCCACCACGAGAGAACAACAACAGTCCCAGATGTCTGGGTCGTGGCCGCGGCCGCCGGCGCCGCGGCCGCCGCCCTACGCCCCGCCCCACAGGGCCCGCCCCTTCCCGCCCCTGCCGATTTAAGTCGCTGGGGCGTGAGGCACGAGCGGAGAGCGCGCTCCCGTCGCCTCCGCAGTAGTACGAGTTAGAATTCGCTAGGGTGGTGAGGGGTTGGGTTATTTTTTATAATTTGCCACTTGCCATGCGTCCTATCCTTGTCACAGTCCCCACACACTCCCACGCGTCTCCTTTTCTCAATCAGCTGCCATAGCCACGACCAGCACCCCACTTCAGCGATCGCTCCGCGGACCCCCGGCGCGCACGTAGGACCCCTTCTATCTCCCGTTTCAGCTCGGGGCACGCGCTAGGCGGGAGGGTACAAGGGACTGTTTCCGCACGGCTTCACGGGAATTGTAGTTCTTTTCTTTCTCCGAGATCTGGGGAGACTGCCGCAAAGACTACAACACCCAGCAGCTCCGCGCCCTCCCTTTCCTCAAAAAAGATCTGCCTCCAGGATGTTCCCTACGGACACGCCCTGTCCCTGCCCTGCTGCGCAATGTGGCCCTGGAATTAAATTAATTTAAACCTGGACTGATGCAGTGAGGGGACCACTGGTATCCATTTAATGCTTTACAGTTTACGAATCGTGTTCTATCGCTTCAACCATCTTGTGAGGTAGGTGGGCGTGATCTATCCCTATTTTACAAACAAAAGAGGAAAGTGCCCCAGAGTGAAGGGACTTTTTCAAAAGAGGCAGAATTCCTATGTGGTGGAACCAGGGTGCCAACCTCGTTTCAGATCTCGTCTGTTGGCAGTTCTTTTTGCTGCTGCAGTGGAGGAGGAGAGAGAACAAGATGAAAGAAAAAATAAACAAGGAAGTTAAGGAGGGAAGATGGGTCAGCATTTAACCATAACACAAGCAACAATGTACAAGCGTTAAAAGGGATACAAAGAGAAATGGCAATAGGCAAACGGAGGAAGAGAAGAGATTATTGAAATAATCTTCAATTTCTTCTTACTTTGGCCTCTCTCCTCTGGAACGCTCACCTTGCAAAATAACACAACTTGAGGTCTGGGAGATGCCGAGGAGGGCTTACCTGCCAGACACTCAGGGGCTGCTGATTTTCTTGGTTTGGCCTTCTTAAAATGGCTCTATGAATTTGGCGGAGTATCTTACAGCTCCTTCCCTAGTCAGCTTTTTTGTAAGGAGGGTGTAATAATATTTACAGCATGGCTATACAGTAACAATAAATGGCTTTAGAGTGCTTTCAGGTTCACAGATAAAAGACATAATAAATTCAAAGTATTACTTTCCTTTAACAAGCCATTTACCATAATAAAATCCAAGCTACCAAGGTACAGAAGGATCGTAGTGCCAGTTCCTGAAAAATAACGTGCCACAGTTGGCATTTACAGTCTTTGCTAAGCAGTTGGGTGGTTTCCTTTATGGAATTAGCAGATTCTTTTAATCACACAAGGCCTGGGAAACAACCACGTGTCCTGAAAAGAAATTAATCGTTCACTATCATCACCATTACTGTCCATGACAAATGTTAATTAAATATTTACTCTGTGCCAAGTATTATGCTAGGAGCTGACGCTATAAGAAAGTATATAACAAGGGGCGCCTGGGTGGCTCAGTTGGTTAAGCAACTGCCTTCGGCTCAGGTCATGATCCTGGAGTCCCGGGATCGAGTCCCGCGTCAGGCTCCCTGCTCAGCGAGGAGCCTGCTTCTCCCTCTGACCCTCCCCCCTCTCATGTACTCTCTCTCATTCTCGCTCTCTCAAATAAATAAATAAATCTTTAAAAAAAAAAGTATATAACAAAACTGTTCATTTCAAAAAATAAAATGTGTCTGGGGCCACGGGATATATGTGAGAAAATATAGCCCATGATAAACAGCAAATGCTTGCTGCAGACAACTGTTAAAGAATTCAGTGTCTGAGGTGGTCAATGGAAGCAACAAGCAGCAGGAGCGACAAGCACTAGGCTTTGAAAGACAAAAAATAAGTAGAGAAAAAGGTGGAGGGCATTTCAAACCCATAAACCACTGGTCCTCAAATCTGTATTCCTGGTCACTGCCCCAGAGATTCTGAATCAGTACATTGGGATAGGACCTAGGTCCCTACATATTTAACAAATACTATTGATTGTGGCATAAATGGCCATAACCTTGCTACACAGAGCAGGTCCTCTTATAAGGTCTTCTGGAAAATACAAAATTTCAGGCCCCATCCCAATTCTACTGAGTCAGAATTTATATTTTAACAAGATCCAATGATGATTTCTACACATATTAAATTTGATAAGCAGTGGTTTTATAAGCCAATTCTTAAATTTAATTCAATTCTGAGAAACACTACTAAATCAACAACTTCCAAGAGATGGAATTATATAAGGCAAGCATAAAAGACTGGAGAAATACAAGTTTTAATTCAATACCAGAGTCAACCAGTCCTCAATTTCATCAACAAAATTATGACATACAATGGTTATCAGAAACCTTGCCCAGCATCTTTGGCTTATTGCTTAGGAATTGAGGGGTGACCAAAGAGACCCAGAACTCATCAGATCAAAGAATAGTGTGTAAGTGTGTCCAGAAGAGGGAGTATAATAGTTTTCCTAGTCAGGGAAAGTTCAGAAGCTTTAATTTCTGTTGGAATTTGCCCAGAGTTCTTTTCTAAGTTTTTATTTAAATTTCAGTTAATTAACATACAGTGTAATATTAGTTTCAGGTGTACAGCATAGTGATTCAACATTTCCATATATCACCCCCTGCTCAACACAACAAGTGTACTCCTTAATCCCCATCACCTATTTCACCCATCCCTCCACCCACCTCCCTTCTGGTAACCATTAGTTTGTTCTTTATAGTTAAGAATCTGTTTCTTGGTTTGCCTCTCTCTTTTTTCTTTTGTTCACTAGTTCTGTTTCTTAAATTCCACATATGAGTGAAATCATAATGGTATTTGTCTTTCTCTGACTGACTTCACTTAGCATAATACTCTCTAGCTCCATCCATGGTTTTGCAAATGGCATGATTTCATCCTTTTTTTATGGGAATTTGCCCACGGTTCTCTAAATCCGACAACCCTAACTGTGGTTATAAAAGAGAATATCTCTCTTGGTCCTAATATATATATGACCTAATATTTTAGGATCATGATATATATATAACTTACCCTCAAATGGTTCAGAAAAAAATACTGTGTATACACACACACACACAAATGTATTTATATATACACATATATAAACATATACAAACATATAGTTAGATAAATAGGAAATAAATCAAATGGAAATTTTAATAATAGGGGAATCTGGGTAAAGGATAGCTGGATAATCTTTGTACTATTTTAATTTGCAACTTCATTTGAAATTATTTCCAGGGGCGCCTGGGTGGCTTAGTTATTAAGCGTGTGCCTTCAGCTCAGGTCATGATCCCAGGGTTCTAGGATTGAGCCCCGCATCAGGCTCCCTGCTCCGTGGGAAGCCTGCTTCTCCCTCTCCCACTCCCCCTGCTTGTGTTCCCTCTCTCGCTGTGTCTCTCTCTGTCAAATAAATAAAATCTTAAAAAAAAAAAAGAAATTATTTCCAAATTAAAAAATTTAAAAGAGAAACCTCAAGTGTATAAGAAATATACATTTATTTATTGTTTTAAAAAATCAAATTAAGAGACTCAAAGCTCTCATTCTGTCAGGGTAGCAAGAAATTAAATTTTCATCAATATCAGAGTCTCCCCTCTCATCCAGGCTTTATATGATACCAGGGAAACAGAGTTGACAGCTCTAATTCATCAAGGTTTCTGCTAACATCTGTATTGTCTAGGGTCATAGTAGTCTCTGGAAGTCTGACAGCTTTCTCCTTGCATACCATTCATAAGCTGTGGTCAGGAAACTTGGTTTTAAGGCTATGAACCCCAAAGCGTCTGTCTAGGTATGGTATATGGTCATCCCCTCAAGCATCTTGCCAATTACTTGAAGTATTGCTACCAAGCAATCTTTAGGGACTCTCTTGCTCTCTCATCACCCTCCTATTTTAAGACTTTAAGTTTTGAGGAAATCTATCATTCTGCTGTGTGATTTCTCTGAAAAGGTAAGTATTTTCTTGTTGCTCATCAAGATACTTGACCTAAACTCTAGTGAACTCTGTATTTAAAAAAAAAAAATAGAGTCAATAAAGGAAGTATCTTGTAAACAATTTTCTATTTTCTACTTTTAGCCCTTAAAACTCCAAAGGGACAAAACAACAACAAAAAAAAAGTGGCTCTCTTTGTGTAAGGTAGGGGGAAGGATGCAGAGCACACTTGGGATTAGGGTGAAGCAAGGCAAAGAACCTAGGGTGCAAAATCTAAGGAGGCGTTCCCTTTCAGGTTTGTGGAAGTACAGGATTGGTGCCTGAGAGTGAGTGCCTTATTACATTTTTTAATTTTTTAATTTAATTTTTATTTTTTATTTTTTATTTTTTTTAAAGATTTTATTTATTTATCTCAGAGAGAGAATGAGATAGAGAGAGTACGAGAGGGGGGAGGGTCAGAGGGAGAAGCAGACTCCCTGCCAAGCAGGGAGCCCGATGCGGGACTCAATTCTGGGACTCCAGGATCATGACCTGAGCCGAAGGCAGTTGCTTAACCAACTGAGCCACCCAGGCGCCCTTATTACATTTTTTTAAACAGCTTTATTGAGATATAATTCACATAGCAAACAATTCACCCATTTAAAGTGTACAGTTCTGGTTTTTTTGTTATATTCATAGTTATGCGCAAACATCACTATAGTCAATTTTAGAATATTTTCATTACCTCAAAAAGAAACCTCAAGCCCTTTAGCTATGAGCCACCTATCACCCTATCCCACTCCCAGGCCTAAGCAACCACTAATCTGCTTTCTATCTTTGTAGAATTATGGTTGAATAATACTCCAGTGTATGGGTATACTACATTTTGTTGATCTGTTTGTCCATTGATGATGTTTGGGTTGTTTCTGTCTTTTGCTATTATGAATAATGCAGCTACAAATATTCATATACAGTTTATGTGTGGAATAGGTTTTCATTTCTCTATACCTGTGAATGGATTAGGTGGGCCATGTAGTAACTCTATGTTTAATCATTTGGACCAGCCGGACTGTTTTCCAAAGCAGCTGCACCATTTAAATTCCTACCAGCAGTGTGTGAGGGTTTTCCCACAGATTTTCTAACTCTTGTTATTATCTTACTTTTTGATTCTAGCCATTTTTAAAATTATTTTTTTGGGGGAGAGAAAGAGAGTGCATGGGGGAGGGGGTCGGACAGAGGGAGAGGGAGAGAGAGAATCAAGCAGGCTCCACACTCAGCGTGGAGCCCAACTCAGGGTTCACTCTCACCACCCTGAGATCACGACCTGAGCCGAAATCAAGAGTCAGACACTTAACTGACTGCGCCACCCAGGCCCCCCAGATTCTAGCCATTTTAGTGACTGTGAAGTGGTATCTTATTGTGGTTTTGATTTGCATTTCCCTGATGACTAGTGACTTGGACATCTTTTCATATGTTTATTGGTCATTTGTATATCATCCTTGGAGAACTATTCACATCTTTTGCCCATTTAAAAAAATTTTGTTTTTAAATTTTTGAGTTGTAAGATTTATTTGTATTTCTTGATGTAAGTTCCTGATACAAATCAGATAAATGA